TTGGACTAAAACTCCCATAAGCCTTCACCACTAGTTGTGCTGGCCAGGGTTTCTGGGAGTTGTAGTCCAAGAACATCTGGGGACCCAAAGTTGGGGACCACTGGTCTAAATATTTAGATCACAATCCCCATCATCCTTGAGTCTCTGACCCTTGGCCATGGCGGTTAAAGGCAGAGTCATTTCAAGTCCCCTGATCATCCTCAGGTGAGTAGAAACCATCATCCTGGACATGACTACAACAGAACTCTTCAAAATGTTGAGAGAAAATGCCTAGAATTGTGGGAGAAGAGCGAGCAGAGTGAAAGTCTGAGTTAGCCACAGAATAGACCTGAAAGAAAAAAAAACGGGGTGGGAGAGAAAAGAAACAGAAGAGAATAGGGAATTGTTGGCCATTCTAGAAGAGGAAAAAAAGAATCATGATAGCTGAGCACAGAGGAAACTGGGTCACTGGATGGGTCCATGGGTGGACCTCCAATGTTTAACCCTCCTGCTTCGCAGATTCTTTACCAGCAGAATTCACTATGCCACAATGATAGTTACGTTACATTTGCTGCATTCATAGACACCCGAACCACTAGGTGCTCAGAGGCAGCCACTTCCCTCAGGCAGCAGATTTTGCAGTACCAGTGGATTTTTGCAGTCTATCCAAGGCATGGATCCACATCAATTTTAATGTACGGTCATCTCCCAATTATTGCCCATCTTCATTTCCTCAGTTGTGGTACTGGTGGGAGAGGTTGGACTGTAAACTTCTTTGAAGTGGCATATTTTCTCCCTACTTGTACTCTGCAAGGAGCTGTCCATGGAGTGCTCATGGTGTTGATGATGATGAGGCTTGGCAGGTCTCAGAGAATGAGCTGCAGTGCCAGGAAGTGGCTGTGGTTCCCTGAATCTCCAGGCCAGGCAGACAAATGTCAGCAGCAGTGGTGGAAGAGAAGGAATGAATCTTGTTTATTGTTACAGGGTGTTCATAGTGTTTGGGTACACAACTCCAGCCCTCTCTGAATGGCACCAGGGCTCACTGGCTTCCTGCATGTGTTGGACACATAATATATTTAGGAAGTCAGAACAACTCCAGCCCTCTCTGAATGGCACCAGGGCTCACTGGCTTCCTGCATGTGTTGGACACATAATATATTTAGGGAGTCATAGGGACCAATGGTGCCTCTCCCACTCCATGCCTGCAGACACGTGACGTTCCCACTGTTGAAGAGGCTCCAGTCCCACCTCTTGTGACAACACAAGGCCCCACATCATGGCCTCATAGACATCCATCCCACAGCATTGTGCCCCAGATATAATGAGGGGATGGGGAAGATGCCCCCATGAAAGCCCCTGACCAACAAGGTAACACTTCAAAATCATTCCAGAAAAATACTTTTATTGGTTTTTGAAAAGAGGTTAAACGGGTATCCCGGTTCTCAGTGGAGACAGCCCAGCTCAGCTCCAGCAGGATGCCTGCCTTCTGGTCCCTTGCCTCACCCTGGGGAAGAGGAAGCTTCTGGCCCTACAAGAGAAAGAGAGAGAGAAACAACACCTAAGGGGCAAGCTCATCCACTGCCACCAGTGGACGAGCAGATGCCACCAGCTTCTCTCTGCCAACGTCCACTGACTTCCCCCCCAGTCCATCGCCAACATCAGCCAGCTTCAAGCCACAGATCTCTGCCAGCCTCGAGCTGTTAACTCGCAAGTCCACTTAGCAAGTTCAGAACTTGCCTTGGGCAGAAGGGCTGGGTCCCTTGCAGCCGCTACCGCCACTCTCTCTGCCGGGCTGCCCTCTGGCCACTGGCCTCCCCTCTGGTCTCCTGCCCTGCCCAGCAAGCCCCTTTTATCTCCAGCAGAGAGGTGGGGCCCCTGTGAGGTGACAAAGGATGGGGTTGGGTTCCCAAGGCAGCAGCACCCTCGGGATTGGCTGTCCTGAAGATGATGTCAACAATCCCTCTTATCATGTGATTTACCCACAGAAGCTTGCATTATATATGATTTTTAAAATATATATCTTTATTAGTGGCATATAAATGTATCAAAAAGCTATCATCCAGCATTTGCACAAAAAAGGAACTTTCCTAAGCTCTGAGCTAGGGGAAAAAATGAAAATAATTGAATAACAGTAACACAATGCAACTTTTGACCCTTTTTGGGGGGGTGCTAAGCTCTGAGCTAGGGGGAAAAATGAAAATAATTGAATAAGGATGGGCACAGTGACACAATGCAGCTTTTGACCCTTTGGGTGCTTCTTCAGGCAAGCTTTCCCTTATTGACTGGCTGCCTGGGTTGGGATTTTGAATGGACCAACGGGCATGTCACATTGCTTTGAACTTGTTTTTGGTACAGTGGACCCTCTACTTACAGAATTAATCCGTATTGGAATGGTGGCTATAGGTTGAAAAGTCTGTAAGTTGAGTCTCTATTGACCTACAATGCATTGAAAGCCAATTAATCCGTAACCGGCCATTTTTGTTCCGTTTTTGTTCCATTTTGGTGTTTTTCTGGTCTGTAAGTCGATTCTCCGGCTGCAAGTCGAACCTAAATTTTGCGGCCAGAGAAGTCTGTAACTCGAAAAGTCTGTACTGTAAGTCGAGCCGTCTGTAAGTCGAGGGTCCACTCTATTGAGTTTGTTTTTTAGTGGGGTAATTGTTCCTGAAAACTCCTTTTTCCAGCAGCTTTTTAAGTGTGGCTGTCAGGGACTGAAGCTGCAATTTCCTGCATGCTGGACTTGCTGCCAGCCTCTGAACTGAGTTGCTCCTGTTACGTTCTCCATTGCTGATGCCATCATTGGCCTTAGGTGGCATTAGGTTATGGATTCCAGGCAATATATTTAACAATTATTGGTGCTTGCATACTGGTGTTTGCATAAGGTTTGAGTAACTTGCCCTGGCTAATTGAAAGGTGTCAAGGAGTGTCTGGGTCACATGCCTGATCATGCACCTGATTTGTTCAACCAGAATGTACAGTACCCCAGCACTTCATCAATCAGCTGCAGGTAGCCATGGCAAGTTACTCAAAACATATGTAACTGCTTTTAGAAAGAAAGCTTGCTAAAACATACAGTAGGGAGTGGCCAGTAAAATAACATTAATCCTTTCTGAATTGCCCTAGGAAGGATCCTTTGAATTTTGGAAGGTCTTGGACTTCACTTTGGGCATCCTTTGAACAGAGACAACATATTGTGAGCCAGGAGGCCAGACGGAAGCACCTCCAGCCGGAGCGCCCTCCATTCCCACAAAGGAATCAGAGACTGAAGGGAACCTATTATGGACTGGCAGCTCCCTCAAAGAACACTACAGAGGATGCCCTCAAGGGGGGCAAAGGGAAAGAACCGCCCCAGGGCCTCAGGGGATTGGAGAGCTAAGAGAACATTTAGAAAAGGCGGGGAAGGAGGGGGAAGGAGGAGGAGGGGGAAAAGAGGAAAGAACCGCCCCAGGGCCTCAGGGGATGGGAGAGCTAAGAGAACATTTAGAAAAGGTGGGGAAGGAGGGGGAAGGAGGGGGAAGGAGGAGGAGGAGGTAATAGAAAGGGAAGAAGAGGAGAGAAGGAAGGAACGAACGAACACTACCACCAGGTTGGGAGTGGATCTGGTTAGAAGACCCTTGGACCCACAGGTGGCAAAGACTGAAGGTACCCAGAGAGGAAGCAGATCATAGAAGAAGAGCAGTGATTCCCCCAAAGCCATCATACTGGGGAGAAGCTGAGGCAAAGGAGTGGAAGAAGATATTAAGGGAAGAGAGGGAGAAAGTGGAGCAACAAAGAAGGGAAAGGAGTGAATGGCGAGCATGGGAGCTGAAGAGGAGACCAGAGCGGACAGCCTGGGAAATCGTGGAACGCGGGGAGAGAACAAAGTGAGGGGAATTTTTGGGAGAGGCGTGCGTGCCCCTGTTGCCTCTATCGACGGGGTTGACAATAAAGGACTGGATACTGGCTAAGCAACCGGGCCCGTGGAATGAGAGTTTTGGGAACCCTTTCGTTCAAGAAGAGCGGAAACCCTTTCCAGCCCAGTTGGAGGGAAAGGAGAAAGACTATGTTCCAGTTGAAGTCAATTGTTTATCCAATAGTTCTAAAATAAATGTTCAACCATTTCAACCACGATTGGTGTCCGTGTTTGAAGATGTGGGTATACGAGAGGAGACAACTCGAGACCCAACCCTCACACATACTTAAATGGTTTCCATCAAAGTGATCATCTGTTTCTGCATGGATAGTAAAAATGCAAAAGAGGTGTGGCAGCTTTTAAAACTCACAATGAAGTTAATCAGATAGTCTTTAAGGTGCCACAACTGCTTTTATTTTTGCTGTTCATTGGCCAAAATCCTACTGGTGTTCACAGAAAGTCTCATAGCTTAGAACTGGTTGCATGCCTGATAATCTGCCTAATTCCACGACCAAGATACCCCCTGGCATCTCAGTTAGTTGCAATTTGCCACCACAAAATGTATGAGAACACCAGGATGATTCTGGCTAATATATTTCTCTGCTCACTCTTTTTTATGTCCCTTGCACAAACCTGTACCTGTGGCCCAACCATAACCGTCTGATGTAACTGCCACCAAGTAATGAAACCTGCCAATATAAGCATAGGGCCATGGCTATCTGAGGTTCTACCGAGTTGTGGAAGTTCTTCCTGTCATGGCTTCATGCCACTGGTCACCAGCTGCTGCTGAGACTGACCAAATATGCGAACGAATAAAGGTCAGAAATATCAAAGCAATGATGCGAAAAGGATGGCACTCTTGTCTGTCCCTCAAATCATACAATTAGTGATGGTTCCGTCCTAGATAAAACAAATTATGCAAATCCTGAGTGAGAGTCAAAGCACACCAGGCAGCTGGGGGGGGGAAGTGTCTCTTTTAAAAACAGCCACCCACCACCCTGTCACGTATTCCCTTCGCGAACCCGAGATAAGCCTCGATCGCAGCCCTCCCCCTGCCGCCCTTCTCTTTCCTCTCTCAGCATCCACCCACAAAGTGGGCGAGGCTTCCCCGGGAGCCACGCCTCCCTCGTCCACGTGGCTCGCCGCTTCCTGGACCACGTGGGGTGCGAATGCGGGCGGAAGCGATGGGGGCCTCTGGCGCTGCCGGAGTTACCGCTACGTCTAGATCGGCTCTCGCCTTGTATCCAAACCGGGTTGGTGGGGTGGGCGGACGGGGGTCGTGAGAGGAAAGAAGCGCTCGAGGGCTACACGGGGAGGAAGTAGGGGGATATGCGGCTAAGGGGCGGGAAACGGTGTCCCCTTTCTTTAGCAGGAAGCCAGCTGGGAGATCGGTGGGGGGGGGCTGGATGGGTGAACATGTTGATCTGTTTGCAAGGAGCCTGAGCTGGGTGCCCGTATTTGTTCCTTGTATTTCTGGGGTAGTAGCTGCCTCCATAGCTCAGTGAGTTGGGAGGTCCATTTTCCCCATTGTGCCTCCCGCGGAAAAAAAGCCAGCCTGTGTGGCCTTGGGCAAACTGCCCAGTCCCAGGGCACTCCCCCCCCAGAAGAAAGGAACTGTAAACCACTTCTGAGTACTGTACTCTCTATTTAGGAAACCCTGAAAAGTGTCGCCAGAAGTCAGAAGTGACGTGATGGCACATCAATATCATTTCTGCAGTGGGAAGGGTTACTTATATACTTGCCCCCCTTTTATGGGAAGGTGCCCCGAGGCAGAGTTTTCCAAAATAGCATGCCCCTCCGCTACATGAGAATGGGGGTGGATAAGGGAGGCAAAGGCTCTATTTAGGAAACCCTGAAAAAGTGTCGCCAGAAGTGAGGTGGTGGCATATCATTATCATTTCTGCAGTGGGAGGGGTTACGTATATACTTGCCCCCCTTTTATGGGAAGCGAGGCAGAGTTTTCCAAAATACTGTAGCATGTCCCTCCGCTACATGAGAATAGGGGTGGATAAGGGAGGCAAAGAGGCAGAGTTGTCATGGCTGCCTAGCCACTCAAATCCCTTTTTGCTGCCTGCTGAAAGGGTAGAGGCAGAAGGTCCAGGAGCACTATTTGCCTACAGAGTGCCTTATAAGCCTAGATCTGTTTTGCAGCAGTTGCCAGAATCTTCACATACTGAAGTTTCACAGGAAGCGTAGCTCAAAAGTGTGTGTGTGCTGTTTAAAAGGTTCCAGTTGTCGTGGGCATAGGAAACTCGGCCCTTCAAATGTTCCTGGATTGCAACTCCTTTTTTTCCTGTTCTTATCTTGGATTTCTGTTCTCAAGTAGAAGCAAAATTTAGCAAATGGAGCCGTTCTTAAGTTGGATTGTTCTTAAGTAGGGACGTTCTTAAGTAGAGACCCCACTGTAGTCGTGGTGGGCATAGGAAACTCGGCCCTCCAAATGTTCCTGGATTGCAACTATTATCATCATTGGCTTTGCAGGCTGGGATTGATGGGAGTTACGGTTGAACTACACAGCATGTTAGCAACCCTAGGCTAACATCTTTATGGATAAATATTGGAATGTTAGGTGATGGGAATGAATCGTCCCTTCGTGGCTTGCAGCCATGCTGGCTCTACTTGCAGTTAGTAATGGTGAAAGCTGAGGCCGGGGAGTTTGTATCCCCCCCTAAAGTGATTGGAGTGGAATCAGCTCTCCTTATCCCTGTCTGTTGACCAGGTCTGATGGGACCTGCAGTCCAACAAGAAATGGGGGTTGAAGGGTAAGCTGTCCTTAACAGTATGAACTTAGATTATAGCAGAACAGATAAATGACTCATAGTGGATGCTTGTGGATATATCTGACACCCATAATGTATTATGAAGCTCCAAGATCCTTTACACATCACGGGTACCCATTCTCCTTCTTTGCTTGGTGGCCCATAATTCACCATTGTCATCCATGTACTTTTCCAGCAGCTCCATAAATAGTGTTGCATTGGGAAGTACTGTAGCAGAAACTGCTTGAGCTAGGAAGAGTGAAAAAGTTACTCCGAATCCTTCATTTGCTACACTTTTTGTGATGAATAATCCTAAAACTCCGCTGTGTTGACTTCAATATGAAGTCCCCTTCTAAGTCTTCTAGTTGAGGATGGTGAATTATCGGGTTGCCAAGTGAAGTGGGAGAAGTACTGTTGCTGATAATGATATGCAAAGTATCTCGAATCTTCATAATAAATTACAGGGGCCCCAATGAAATCCACAACCCTCTGCCTCTTGACGCCTTGCAGTTTAAGTTGTGTTATCTGGCATTCAGACACCTGTGCAGTAGCATCCAAAAACAGAAGCTGACACCTAAGTTCTGTGTCCTATAACCAGAGGCATACAGTGAGAGTTTTAATCCATGTCCGTGATTGTGAGAGTTAACACTAGGGACTAGAAGCTCTCTCAGATGAACTAAAAATGGAATGCAAAGGTAAGATAGGTAGTAGTAGGAGTTTTGCCCATGCATTGCTGTACATTTTATGTTCCTTATTGTTACCTCTGAACATTAGTGAGCTGAAGGTACCTTTCCCATCATCATCTCTGGCTCAGATTGCACTGGGTTCCTTGTCTCCAGACCCTGAGCCTCGCAAGGGAGGGATCACTAAAGAACTGACTGTGACAGAGGATACCTTGCACGTGTGAGTATTGTCTGTGTGGCCCTTTCCGTAGAGGCAAGGGGGATGAAGGATTGAGGGAGATGGATGGCTCTCAGCTTAAAGTGAAGTGGTGCTGTGCCTCTCACGATCTGAGAGACTGACCTGCTTCACAGGACTGTCATGAGCACAAAACAAGCTTCTTGTAGGAAAAATGGGATACCCTTGTGGTACAGTGATAGATTGGAGACAATGTGTACCCTACGTACACTTGCTTATTTTATTTATTCACTTGGCGATCATTTTCATTTCCTGCCTTTGCGCACCATACATTAGCTGACACATTAGCTGGCTTTCTGATTCCCAAAACAGAAATTAAAACCATTAAAATATGAAGGAATATGAAAAAATATGATAGGCGATAGCATTAAAAGCTTTTTTTTTAAAAAAAGTTAAAAACAGCTGCAAGATAAAATTAAAATTAATCCACCAGCAGCGTCAACATCTAAAAAGCATTTATGCAGAGTATTTTTGTCTTTGTTTTGAATAAATGAAACAACTAAAAAGCCTGGAAGAATAAAAGATCCTTCCCTTTCATTTCAAAGATCTTGGTACAGACTGATAAGGAATCCTTGTATAGCTCTTTTTTTTTTCTGTTGTGCTTCTCAAGGAAAGTTGCTTGGTGGATCTGACCCAGTGCTGGTGAATGAGGAATAAAAATTCCTGTTTCATTTCTCCCCTGGTCAACTTCCATCTTGTCTTTTGTTGTCTTACCTTAGTTTCCTTCACGTCTCTGCAGTACCTTTCTACCAATGCAGTCAGTCTCTCTTGTTTCTTTGATCACATAAGACATTTCCTTAACTCCTTACCCTGACTTCCTGCCCAGTTCCAACACAGCCATCTTATTTGTATGTTTCAAATCCTCCCATTCTCTCTCTTGCCTTTATTTTTCTGTTGTTGAAAGGTCTTCTACTTCCTCAGAAGAAGAGATCCACACTTTTTCCTTAGCTGCCTGCTGTGCTTTGACTCCCACTCAGAATAGCGGGATGATGCCGCCTCTCCTATTCCTGCAAATCCGTTCTCGGAACCAGTAGGCAGCTTGTCACCAAAACAAAGAACTGTCCCATTTCAAAATTTGGAAATGATGAGACCACAGCCCACTCCATTGAAACCATATCTGCGTGAAGCCTTTGGCTCAGTTGACCTGGTTTCTTTGTCCTACTGTCGGTAAACCCGTAAGCCAAGGGTGAGGAACCTTTGGTTCTCCCAAGTGTTTTGGTCTACAACTCCCATCAGCCCCACCCAGCATAGCCAATGATAATTGATCCTGGGAGCTGTAGTTCCAAGCAGCCGTTTCTTATCCCTGCTCTAAATATGAACTTCTGGGGAGCTCAGTAGTTTTAGGTATCTGACTGTGAGTTCCAAGCAGCCGTTTCTTATCCCTGCTCTGAATATGAACTTCTGGGGAGCTCAGTAGCTCAGAGCCAGAGGTTGGGAGTCTGATCCCCCCACTGTGCCTCCTTAACAGAGGCAGGACTTGATGATCTATAGGGTCCCTTCTAACTCTGGAGTTCTAAGATGATGATTAGCACATACAATTGAAACAATGACACGTTGTCCCCATGTCTATCCCTACTTGAGTGTCCCTCACTTTTCCTCTGTTCATTTTTGACCCTTTCTCTTTCGGAATTTAAATAAGAAAGCTCTTGGGACTTGTCCTCTTTCATAAAGTGCCATGCATACAGGTCACTCTTATCTAAACCAAAAAAACTATAAATTGTTGAGATATTTTAGACGTGACACTGAAATGTCTGGCCTGCTTTGCCCCTGCAGCTCTCAAGGGCAAAAAGCGTGGCAGGGTGGGTTTCTGAGCTTGAGAGCAACACAATGGGTCAGAAGCAGAGAAGATCACCAGACCAGCATTAGGAAGCCAAGGGCTGGGATAGAATGTGGATTGTAACTCTAGGGTGGGATGTTGGTGGAAGTAAGATAATGATGCTGAAGAACCTTCAGAGTCGACTGGGCTTTGATACCACATGTTTATCCTTTACTACTATTGCTGTTGTTATGATAATTGTATTGCTTTTATTTTGTTATTGTGTCGTCGTCATCTTATTGCAGGCGCTGGAGAGCAGATGAAGCTCGAATCTTGCGTGTCTCCATCAACTCTTTTCTGGAGCATCTCTCATTGGTGGTGGAGACCATGGACTTGTTTGGCCCTCCGATGGCTTGACCTAGGCAGTGGAAACCAGCAGGCTTCCTCTTAGTCTTGACTGGACTCTGGACTAGTTCCACTAGCTGCTGATGTCGAAGAAAGCACTAGGCAAACATTCCTGGGAACCAAGATGATGGATGGAGGTGCATGTTGCCCTTTGACACTTTGGACATTGGCATTCTGCTGGAAACCCAGAAGCAAATGAGGCATAAGAGAAGTGTACAGAATCTGCCATTTCCCTGTGTTATCAGATACACTTTGTCATCTCTGCATTCGCTGATTCAATATGCTTGAACCAGCTTAGCTGTATTGGTGATCAATTGTATCTACATAAGCCAAAGCTTAACAGAAAAGCTCTTAGAGGTTTCTGAATGAAGACGATGAGGTCGCAGAGTGTGAGAGAATTCTGATGCTCAGTGCTTAGAAAAGGGGAAGCCATCTGTTATCCAGAAATAGGAACAGGAAAAACACATATTCTTCTGTTCAGATTTGTCAAGCAATGCTTGTGAGTTTGTGACGAGTGACTTTTAAGCTAAATGAATCTGACAGATCTCTCTTCCATTCATCTCATTTTATAGGTCTGGTTTGAAATGTTCTTTGAAAAATGTAATCAATTTCTCCAGATTCAGGCAGGGGGGAAAATCCAGTAGAAGATCCAGGCCTAGCTGAGAATGTGTTACCTCAGTTAGCTCTCTGCTCCTCATTTATTACATGGAAGTTTGCTCAAGGTCACACTCCTTTTAATGTTTGTAGTCTTTAAAATGAATAAACACAACTTAACTTACAACCTAGTATTACGCACAGTTATGGATTGTTACACAGAAGTAATTCTTGCCGCTTTCAGCATTTGGAATTAAAGCCAAAATGGAATTGCTTACAACTTACATTCTCTTATGTGTTTGTATTTGCTACAAGCAATGTAGCAAGATGGAATTTGTAGTCTTAAAGTTGTAGAATCCTGACTGAGCTGGTTTAATGTGAACAGGTTTTTCCAAGAAAGTATCAAAAGAATACAGCACAAGGAACTGTTTTGACAAATACCGGTATGCAGATTTTAAAAATAAATACTCTTTGTTTTTGACAATGTTGTATTTCAGTTAAGCTGCTAGAAATCTTGCTTATTTATTATTTATTTAACTTACATGCTGCCCACATTACCCAAAGGTCTCTGGGTGGCTTACAACAATTAAAATACAGTAAAAAAAGATAATACAATTAAAATACAATTAAAATATATACTCAAAAATTCCCAAAATCTTGTAGTTATGTTCTAGATAGTCAAAACCTATTGTACGTGACCTGAGTTTTTAATGTAGGGATGGGTGATGCATGACCCTGTACATGTTGCTGGACTACATCATTTCTCAACACTGGCTATGCCTGCTATGCTGATGGGAACTGGTCTAATAATATCTTCAAGGCCACACATTTTCTGTTGGAACAGAGCATAAATATATGTGGTATCTGTCTGAGCTAGGCAAGGGAGAGGGCGATAGGGAAATAGGTCACCTGGATATGCTTTCCCCTCTTCTGTTTTCTAGATCTCCATGTAGATTGGCAGGTTTTCTCCCTTCCTCTGTCTTCGAGGTCACTTCCTGCTTCTTCCATCTCCACACTAGAAGAACACAGATTTACATGGCTTTTTCTAATTGCTAAGGAGATCTGCACATGTGAAAGCTGGCTTCAAGGGTTGCCTCAACCAAAGTTAGGGTGCTTTCGCCTACACTGTCTCTGAATAGATTCCCTGAGGCAATAAACATACATTTTTCTATTTTTATTCATTCTAAGTGTGCCGACAAAGGTCCGCATAGTGAAAGCTATGGTTTTCCAGTAGCAATGTATGGAAGTGAGAGCTGGACCATAAAGAAGACTGACCGCCAAAGAACTGATGCTTTTGAATTGTGGTGCTGGAGGAGGCTCTTGAGAGTTCCCTGGACTGCAAGGAGAACAAACCTATCCATTCTGAAGGAAATCAACCCTCAGTGCCCACTGGAAGGACAGATCCTGAAGCTGAGGCTTTGGCCATCTCCTGAGAAGACTCCCTGGAAAAGACCCTGATGTTGGGAAAGTTTGAAGGCAGGAGAAGAAGGGGACGACAGACGATGAGATGGTTGGACAGTGCCATCGAAGCGACCAACATGAATCTGACACAAGTCCGGGAGGCAGGGGAAGACAGGAGGGCCTGGCGTGCTCTGGTCCATGTGGTCATGAAGTGTTCAAAGGGGTTACTAGTGCTCAATATCCTTATGTTCAGCACTAGCCCACTGCAGTCCAGTAGCCTAAATCCCAAACGTCCTTATATTTTCCCACTCCTTTTATAGCCTTGTTCATGTGAGGGTGGTGAGATTAATCCCATGTATTACCTTCACTCCCCATATATTGGAAGGACCAGGTTTGTTTGTTTGATTTATTTTCATTTATATGTTGTTCTGTCTGAATACACAGAGAATGACTCACATTACAATTGCACATAGAACAAGCACCAATCAAATAATAAAATACAACAGAATTAGTACCTTTGGTTTCACTCATCTGCTGCCTGAAAATATTAAGTAAAAAGCAAAAAAATGGAAATACTGTATGTGTTTCCAAGATGTATTATTAGAACTGGCCATTAGATGGAACCATGAACTACGCAATATCCATATGTAATATATGGATATTGCGCAACATATATATGGACCTTTGCTCTATATGGACCTATATACAGTATATGACGTGCTCTGGTCCATGGGGTCATGAAGAGTCGGACACAATGACTAAACAACGTTATTTTTTTCCATATTTGCAACCATTGATCAGTATCAATATTAAGTACTATATTTTGTGCCCACCTAATGATACATTCTTTTGCCATTTCATTTTGCATTTTAGTTTCAAGCAAATAATCATACATTTTTCTTAATTACTTTATCATTTGAGCCCAGCAGAAGTTTATCAAATATCGTTTGTTCTGTGTAAACACCCTCTAATTTATCTTTTGTATACCTAGAGTCCACTTGTGCTCTGGACCACCAGTCTAGATATATGTTTTGTGTTTCTAACTCTTAACTCACAATCATTTTTAATAGATCTTGATAAAAGTTTAGCTTCTGTCATGAGGTTAGGTTGTGTATAGGCCTCTATGGGTGATACCGAGCCTGGTGTTTTTTGGTAAATCTGCTGGATGATCTTTTTCCAAGTCCCTAGTAGGGATCACAACAACCTTGTGAGATACGCTAGGCTGATAAAGTGGCTGGACTCAAGGTCACCCAGTGAGTTTCAGGGCTCAGTGAGACTCAGATCTCAGTGCAGCTCTAGCCACCTCCACTACTTGTTGCACTACAGCAAAGGTGGCAGCAACAAAAGAGAGCCATTCAGGATGCGGGTGATGTAGTTTAAAGCTATAATTGGGGTGATGTAGTTTTAAGGCTATAATTGCTTTATAAGCAGGGTAGGGAGACTGTTCAGGATGGAGAGAAGAAAATGGCAGCTGATCTCTCTGGTGAGAGAGGGAGTCCTGCAGGAAGGAAGGAGAGACTCAAATAAAGCTGAACTCTCAGCCAAGCTGAAGAATCTATGCTGCTGTCCTTTTATATAATAAAAAGAGTTGTCATTTCCTTTCTGGCAGGGCCCCTGTGCCTTTTAAGAGTTTGATGGTGTGGAAATTCCCTAAGCTAAGCTTTTGCACTTTGGAAAATGCTTCATTAGCTGATTTCCCCTTTTCTTGTTGTGCAGTCTTGAAGACACAGGACTTGCTATGTCGTCCTTCTTTGGCTCGGCAGCCCATCCTATGCCATGATAAAGTTAAAATGCATGAAAGTTTAATTGCATTCATATAGCTGTTATGTTCTGAGTGCAGGGTCAGAATGCAACCACCCATACTTTTAGGTAAGTGGGTAGAATTGCCCTGATCTGTTGGGTACAGGGAGTACAGTGAAGACCAAGAGGCTTTCACATGCCTAAAACAGCAGCTTTTGGTGTTTTTTATTCACTGGCTACTGGCTGGATAGCTCAGTGGCTTAGGTATCTTTACTGTGGAGCTGGGAGCTTGATTCCCCACTATGCCTCCTACAAGTAGAACAAGCCTGTGTGGCCTTGGGCAAGCTGCACAGTCCCAGGATGCCCCCAGAAGCAAGGAATAGTAAACCACTTCTGAGTATTCTCTACCTGGAAAACTGAAAAGTTTTGCTGTAAGTGAGAACTGACTCTACAACACATTATTATTATAATTTGTTAGTCACCAGCAACAGAAGATCCTTCACCAAGTTCCTCACAGGAGATGGGGTTCAACAAATGGCTGATATTGGGCAAGTCTCCCAAGTTCTTGTTTGAAATGAAAATAAACAGAGCCACTTGATCCATTTCATATTTTAAAAACAACGTGTTAACAAGTCTTGTGGTGCAGATTCGTTTCTGTTATGTTTTGTGGACATTCTCAGATGTATGGAGCCTGATTCCCAACCCATTATGTGTAACTTTATTTGATTTAATGGTTGCTCTGGGTTTTTCGGGCTCTTTGGCCGTGTTCTGAAGGTTGATTTGATTTAGTTGTTGCCGTCAGAGGTGCATGTTTATGCTATATTATGCTTAACGTTTGGTTTTGTTACTGTTATGTATAATTTTGGGTTTGACTTTGTGGGTATCTGTTTGACTTTTGTAAACCACCCAAAATAGCAGCTTGCCACTAGGCGGGCGGTATATAAATAAAATAACATACGAATGATGTGTCATGTATATCCACCAGCGTTCAGTCTGTAAACCATGAAAGCTCATGCTGCAATAAATAGCCGCAGAGTGCTGTTGTTCTAGGTGCTCAGATGCTACTCTTTTCAAAATATTTTTATCATGTGCCTAAAAACACAACAGTGCATGTTGAAAACACCGCCCTAAAAACAAGACAGTTATTTTAGAGACAGGCCAGCTCCACCATTAGTCTGAATGAAAGAGCTACCTCAGGCAGCAAATTCGGAGTGTCATGAAGAGGAAGCAAATTATTAATTATCTTACATGTTGATTTTCTTTTTCCTGGCAGAGGTGAGGTGTGAGAAAATAGCCTGCCTGGCTGGGAGTACTATATCCCTTGATTGGAGGGGTGCCATTTGTTGCTGTGCTTCAGACTGCTAATATTTCGGGGTAAGCTTTTCAAGAGAGGTTTGGCTTCAGCCCTTTCCTGAGCATGTTATATAGCCTGAAAGCTGAGGTTTGTCACTGGCTGGGTAATGTGTAAAAATGGCCCACCGCGACCCTGCTCATAGGCACTGGATTTGAGATAAACGACTGTAAAAGCACTCTAAGACCATACAGCATTTTGAAAATGTGCCTTCAAGATGATAAGCATCTAGGATTACATAAGCCTTGTCCATCAGAAATTAGACATATGACGGCATTCTGCTGGGAAAATATGTACCGTGCTTAACGTTGTTGTCACTCAGAGAGACTGTTTTCCCCCTCTCTCCCCTCCTCTGTGCTCCCTTCTGCTGCTCCCTTTTCTTCCACCCCCACCCCAAGACACTTCTGCTCACTCCTAAAAAGGTTTTATGCCGAGATCTCAGAATTCCAGCCCTGTGAATCATCCTACACCCAGGTCTCTCAGCGGTGCCAATTATAGCCTGCTCGTTTTTCTTTCCTTTTTTTTCTTTTTTCATTTTTGGTGTAACCAATGAGATTTCCACATTTCCCTCTTGTTTATTCCTTTGCCGTCTAATGTTGTAGATGGACAGAAAAATACGACGCCTTCCCCCCCAACCCCCGCCCCCGAGGATCTCTTTTGCACCTTGATGAATTATCCATTTCGTAGGGATTATCTCCGGGGAGGAGAAAAAAGGGGCGCTAGCAGGACTCTTGGGTCCCATCTCTTCCAGCTCTTGGAAAGGCTGATGGTCCACAAAAGGATGAGAACGGAGGCTGGGATCCAAGAATTCCCTTACTATAAATGGAGCTTTCAGGGAAAGGTGGGGGGGGGAGGGAGACAAGGTTACTAGATGGTTCTTCAGTCACAGATGAAAGGGTGGGGAACGTCTTTTGAAGTGGGGGGAGGGAGCGCGAAAACCAGCTCCGCGCGCGCCTTCTCGCTTTGATGAAATCGATTTGACAGCCACC